GCCCTCACTTTCCTGGCATATACCCTCAGCCACAACTGTCCCTTCTGAGCCCAACGTAAGCCCCTGACTTTAACCGAATTCCCTCTAGATAAAAGTCATCATTAAAATGACCAGGAAATGGGTTTCATCTGAATTTGCCATGCAGTCCTGGTGTCGCAAATCTCTTTGCAAGGGGAGCCTACTTGGAGGTGCGCAGCAATGATCTAAAATCGGAAGCTGTGTTTAGCGCCCACGTGAAGACAAGGGCGCTTTGCTCTAAAGCGTCAGGAGCAACCACTAGCTAAAGAACCAGAGAGCAGCACCGCCACCTTCCTTGGAATGACCTTCAGGGGAAGTCACACGCGAGGGACCCAGACCAAAGCTGCTCAAGGGCTTCGCACAAGTGAGTCCCAGCCTCCACTGAGCGGGCCTCAGAGACCGACTCCCCTTCAAGCAGAAACAAAGCATCCCATCGACCTTTCCAGAGCAGCGAATTCGGCCGTTTCTCTCTTACCATTTGGGGTGCCCGGTCACTGGAAAGTCCCGTGGGGTTTTGGCGTGGAAGAATTCCTCCAAATCCATGAAAAATGGCAGATTGAAGCACAGCTGGCTGGCCTGGTGGCAGAGGCCACGGCTACACATGCCCAGCTGGAGGGAGGACCAGGAGGCCCCCGGGCACGGCGGGCCTGGTGGGACCGGCTCCCAGGCCCTCCTCTGAAGAAGCCAGATTCATGGTTCGCAGCAGAAACCACCCTCCCAGGTGCTCCGAGTCCCTCTCTGATTTGACTTCTGACTGGGTTTCCCCTCAATCCACCAACTAATGTGTTTAACTGAAGTAATTCAGGAAAATCACACACATTTCACCTAAAAATTGTCCTGAGATGAATACTTGAAAAGCGGTCTCAAAAAATGCTGAAACGGAGGTCCTTTATTACAATATCAACATGTTTCTTAGTAGCGAAGGGAAGATCGGCTAGTTTAAAAATTGGGAACAAGGTCACTATAAAAACAAGGCTTCAGGGCCAGGGAAAATGATTTGAGATTAATTACCATTTGAAGGAATAACTAATTAACAAAAGTTATGTGAAGACATCAATAAACTTTAATTTCTTAAACATCTTATATTGAAAATGAATATAAAGGGGAAGTTGATAAGCTAACACTGAAAAAATTAAATTCCAGTGTTTAAAAAAGGAAGCTTTCCGTTTCAGGCAGCACTTTGGGCTTCTTTAGAAATGCAAATTACCCAGGTGTTGTTTTGCTCAGTGGAAGCTTTCAGACATGTCCCTGGGCAAAACCGCCTGAAAACCCCTCTTCATAACCATAAGCTATGTTTGTCAGTCGCGTTTCCTGCTCCCTAAAATAGTCGCTCGCGGTGGCCTGCGCCTGCCACCCGCTGCAGGTGTCTGCCCTGCCCTCCACCACCTTGCCTTGCTCACAGCATCCACGGAACATCTCAGCGCATCAGAAAACAAGCCTGATTCACCCTTGTCACACCTGAGCCCTGAAAGGGGGACGGCGGCACCATGGCACCGTTTCCTGGCTGAAATGGTGCAATACCAACTCCAGGAAGGCAGGATTCGTGGTTGTTCATTGAATGATATGATTAAAATATATGATACACTTGAAAATATACTGAAATACATAACCTTTGAAGTTACAGTTTTCTTGACCATTTTCCTCAGGAGCCGCTCCAAAGGGATCCTGTCTTTTAACGCTCAGGGAGCATGTCTCTCAGGAGGAGCGAGTCATCCTCTCGGGGGGCCACCCTGTCCCGGGAAGCCGAGCTCCCACAGACTGCCCGGGTGCGCCCTCCCCGGGGCCGGAGCACCCCACTCTCACCAGGCCTGGGGGAGAACTGCTTGTCCCTCTGTCCCCAGACAGTTATCTTCCTGGCCAGTAAGGAATTTTAAATACAACCTGACAGAACATGACTCAAAACCCTGAAGAAAACCCTTCTCTCTGAGCTCCTGGGTGGGACAGCCACCCAGCACACCCCACAGGCCAGCGCTGTGACTCTGACATCAAGTGTCTCCCCATAGCCCTAACGTGCTGTGGCCCCTCGTCCCCCCACGGCCCTTCCTGCCTCCTGTCCTTTCAGGGGATGGGTGACTCTGTGCGGCCTGCTGGCATTGTTCCAATTGTCAAAAAGCGCCATAAAGTTAAGAGGCCCTGGAGTCCCTAAGCACCCATTCGCATCCCCTCCTGACCAGCCTGTGCAGGACCCTGAGGGACACGTCCCCAGGACCAGCTGAGAAAGTACTATGGACAGGAGAGAAGATACAAGCCCTGGAAGGGCTGTTCTTACCTGAGGTGATGCTGACCCGCGTACCACGTCCCCACACGTCCATAGCATCGTAATCACAGTGGCACAATCTCCTTCCTCATCCCTCCAAAACCAGGGGCCTAGCCCGGCACTGCGCTGAGGCCACGGGGACCCACACTGTCCCCAGGAGCCCCATGGAGCCGCCCTCAGAAACCAGGCAGCAAACTGACCGCCCCTAACTGGGACTCAGAAGTCCCATCTGCCCTGACGACCACTGCCCCAGAGATTCAGAGGCGGCGAAGCCCACAGAGCAGCAGCCAGGGGAGGTCCTGACGAGGCTGGAGGGGACGGCCAGCTGCCAAAGGGGCCGCCTGGTCCCCACCCTGCAGCCGCCCCTGGGACGGGGCATGTCCTTCTCAGCCACATTCATGGGGACTATCTCTGTGGCTCAGATTCCCAACCTTCAAAATGCCATAGTGACTTGACAGGGAGGCCCTGTCACTCCAGACCTCCCCTAGTGCAGCTGGGGTGTCCGGGAGGCTAGCACCCACTTGAGGTGATGGTGACCTGGACTCCCTGGCCCCAAATATGGAGCCCATCGTTGAGAAATGTGCCAGGGCTATTGGCAAGAAGTGGTGCCTGGTGGGGGTTGAGGGTCCCCGGAGGCCCCAGGGAGGCTGAGGCCACAGAGGGCCCCCTGGGTGCCCAGCCCAGGAGTCTGAGACCTCCATTTCTCATCTGTGTGAGCCATGGTCCTCTCTAGGCCCCTTTTTGGGCCCCTCAGGCTGTCCCCGGTCCTTCCACACCTGAGACCTAGACACCCTGCTTTTCACTAAAATGCACCAAAAAGCCTCAGGGAGAGAGCGGAGAGGAGGGCTGGGAGGACTCCCCTGAGGAGACGATGACCTCAGTTCCCCGGCCCCAGATATCAAAGCAATCACATTGCCACGGGCTCACTTAGGGTGTGTACAAAAACCCAGAAATCCGCCCGGCATGGCACACAGACCCGAACACTCAGGCCCCCGTGCCCCCGACTCAGAACCCGCTCTGCCCAGCCTGCTATCCACAGGCACGAGCCCTCTCCCCAGAAAGGCCATCAGCAGAACGCAGGCCGAACGGCCTCAGCAGGAGCCCCACCCCATACAGACCCAGCAACCTCTGGGCATTTGCTTCCCAGCCCTGGGACAGAGGGGCAGAGAGAAAGCCTCTTACCTTGGCTTTCTCTGGGGACCCGGATTCCCTGTCCCCAGAAATAAACAGCATCGCACAGGGACACAGTCTGTTCTCCCCACCATGCAAATACTCAGTGCCCAAGCGTGCAGCAGACACAGCCGGGCTCCCCACACCACAGTGTGCAGCAGATACAGCTGCCCCCTGATCCCACAGGGTGCAGCAGATACAGCTGGGGACCCTGCCCATGGCCACACAGACCCCTGTGTACTGAGGACAGGCGGGGCCACAGGCTTCTGAGGAGACAGCAACCAGGGTGCCCTGGCCCTAGTGCTTGAAGAAAGCATGGGCATGCTGAGCTGCCACCTGCTGCAGCCACAGAAACCCCGCAGCCAGGGCCCCCAGGGAGCCCCGAGGCCAGAAAGTCAGCTGTCTGCTCCCTCTTGCTGTCAGCTCTGGGTCTGGGAACCACAAGGTCACCTTCTGATACCTAGCTACTCCATGGCTCAGCATCACTCCCCGCCCCCCAACAGGCTGCCCCCAGCACCCCAGGGGCCTGTGCACACCACCCCAGCCCAGGGCCTCTGCGATGGGCCTCCGACTGTGTGCTGCCCCTCCTCGGTGCGCCTGGACGCCCCCCTTCCAGCATCACCCCTTCCCCTGGTCTGCATGGGGAGTGGGGCAGGAGCCCAGCTGCCCATGGAGTGCTGCGGGGTTTTTGTACAGCTGTCAATCACTGTGCTCCCAGGTAGCACTGTGGTTCCCGGCTCAGCCAAAACCCTGAGGCCGGCAGGTAGCGGGGCTGCCACGGAGCCCAGGAGACCCCGTCCTGTAGCCATTTCTGGGTCTGGGCCAAGTTTGTGTTGCCAGGTCTTCTGTTTTAAGGGTGCCCTTGTGGTTTCCTTCTCCTTTTACAAATAAGGGCAGGGTCAGGGATGTGCCATTTGGGAGAGGCTTGCCTCGGTGGTGGGGTCAATGTGGTGTCCCCCCCGAGGTGCCCCAAGGCAGACAGCTCCTGCCACTGCTGGGTAAAGATTGGGGCATCCCAGGAATGAGTCCCGGCAAGCGCCAGGCATGGCATCTGGATTGGTGAGATGGGCTGGCCAGAGCTGAGCCTGCTGGCCGTGTTTAGCCCACAGCCGCAGTCTTGTGGTCGGGCCCCACCCACTCCAGGACAGGCACCTGGGAAGGCTTCTCCTGGCCTGGCTGCCCTGAGCAGCACTTGGAGTTGAGCGGAGGGCTGAACCACTGAAGGCAGGTGGAGAGAGTTCCCTGGTCCTTTGTTAATGAGGGCACAGTTGTGGTTGGTTACTTCTGAAAATAGCCTGTGAGCTAGACGTGGCTCTCTAGCTGGCACAGGGGCACTGATGTCCAAAGGGAAAGGCCATTGGGTCAGCAATGATGGAAGGTAGGAGGGAATGACATGTGGTCTGCTCACTGAGCCACTGGAGAATTCAGAGATGACGCCTGACCTCTGCTTGGGTGGCTGACGCAGTGATGGGCAGGACTTGCTGGGGTGCAGGGGGCTGCTGGAGGGCTCAGTGGTCTCCACGGCCTCCAGGCCCTGGTGCTCCGGCCCCAGTGAGCTGATCCCACCTGGGCTGCTTCCCTAGGACCTGGCACCTTGGTGCAGAACAGTGTCCTTAGCAGGTACTCAGTGTATTCCTCACGTTCTGGGGGGAGTGTCTTTGCACTCCTGCTGGCCTCTTCCATCGGGGACCAGGCTCCTGGCTGCTTCACTCCAGAAGGAAGGTCCTTACGGGCACGAAAACCAGGGGAAAGTCTTGTGGTTTTATTTCATAGGCCACAAGCAACACGAGAGCAAATGTGGCTGCCGTCATGAGCCGTCACCCGAGGAGACAGAGAGGCCATGGACAGAAACAGGACTTCCCTCTGCTAGCATCTGGGGACACATGCAAACTGAGGAAACACCAGAGAAAAAGGTGAGGCAGAGAAGAGAATCATGGGTGGTGGGTGGGGGCATGATGGTCAAAGAAAACGCGGGGCTCCAGTGCCTCCTGCCATGTCTGCCCCACTCCCCGTGGCAGGAAGAGGTTGGGGAGGCAACCACATCCTGAGAAACCCCCTGAGTCCCCCACGTTCCCGAGGGAAGGGATTGACTATGAGGACAGTCACCCAGGCCACAGAGGCCTGCCAACAGCGGGCAGCCGGGCTGATGTCTGCCTTCTCCCGGAACCCGGAGCCTGGAAGGGAGCCTGCTCAGCCGCGGAGCATGAGGTGCTGTGCTGCCGACCCCGTGCGCATCTCCGCCGTTCCTCCGTGACGGGGCCGTGGCTGCCATGGTCTGCGCACCAAAGGCTGAAGCAGGAAGGAAGGGCAGCGGGGACTGCACCCTCCTGCACATCTCCGTATCCAGAGCAAGGCCTCCCCCGGGACCCGGGGCACCTCCTTTTGCTTGGAACCTGTCCTCTCTGCCTGGCACAGACTGGCTGCTCCTGGTACCACCAGCGGGAGGGGGGACTCAGTGATGGAAGCAGGGTCTCCTGGGTTTGCACCCTGAGGGCAGTGTCCTCACAAGGGCAGGCCATCTGTGTACTCACTGCAGGGACACGGACACTCAGCCGAGTCTCAGAGGACATGCTGCCCCATCACCCCTTTATGCTGACAAGCTGTCTGGAAAGTGAAAGGGCGGTACTGTGAAAGGGAATCCCAAGCGGGGGATCCAGGAGGAAGCAGAGGTGAGGGGCGACTGCGGCCTTCCTGCTCAGGTCTCCCCAGGGTCAGAGGAAATGGGCCAAGCTCGATGCCCAATCACTAGTCGGGGTCAGTGCTGGGGTGGCCGTTGTCCTCACTGGTGGTGGGGGTGCGGGAGTCCAGCCCCAGCGGGTCCAGGAGTCCCTGAAGGAGGGACAGCATCGGTGACTGGCTGAGGGAGTGAGGGCACAGACACTGGCAGAGGCTGAGCCTGTTCACTGACAGGGCCTCCAGGGGGGACATGGGAGACTGGTCACATGACATAGTCACAGCACCGTCATCAGGCATGTGTCACTCGGGGGCTTATGGCATAATCTGCTCCTCGGATTGTCCCCCTGCTCTTCCAATCAGGGAAGGTCGTCATGTTTTCTTCTTCAAGATTTTTCTGTGGCTCTCATGCCTTTGGATTCTAATCTCAGGTTAAATTTCTCCAAGGGCCACACTGTTTTCTGAATGGGTCTCAGAACTCGCTGGCCTGGACTCCCCCTCCAGCTCACTGTGGGGCGTGTTGTCTCCACAGCCCCCTGAATCCACTCCCAGTGGAAGGGGCAGCGCTCACTCTGCGGACGGTGACAGTGCTTCCCGTGCCCTCTGCAGTCATGGTCCTAAGGGAGCTCCACCAAGACTCTGCCACCTGCTCTCCTGACGCACACCCATGGTGGGCACCTCTTGGGCCTCCTCAGGGGCCACGCTGGGCCAGGCTGGCCAGGGAGCTGTGCCCTGATGTCTCCTGAACCTTCTTCTGTTTCCCAGCCCAGGGACAATAGCCCACCGGCCAGGGGGAACGTGCAGGGGCACAGGCTGAGTTTTGTGATTGCTTTACGATTGCTGGCAGTGGATGTGACCACGGTCAGGGCTGGGCGCCCAAGCTGTGCGATAGAAAGTGGGTGTCCCTTCGATGTAGTCCCAGGATGCACAAAACTGTGGGAACGTGACTCTCTCTGCATCTAGACGGGAGGAAATTGGCCCTGCAGATGTGAGGTGCCTGCCTCCGCTTGCCAATGCATGGTGAGGGCTCTCCCACCAGTGGTGCTGAATGGGCTTCGAGCCATGCTACTCCCCGTGGCCCCTGCCCTCGCAGCCCCTGCAGCAGGGAGGAGCAGGGGCCACCGCACGGGTCTGGCTTGGCCGTGCCACTTGATTGCTCTGAGCCTCAGAACCCTCCTCTGTAGTAATAGGGATAGTGGCACCTTGCTTTCTCGAGTCTCGCTGAATAAAAGAGAGAGTGAGGTGAAGAGCCTGGTGCAGAAGGCACTCAGCAAATGCTGGCAGCTGCTGCCATCTGCCCCACTCCCTCCCAAGGTGACAGACCCCGGGGAGAAGGACCCAGGCAGAGCCATCTCCTGGTGACACAGAGCTGGCATTTCATCCCGGAGTAATGGATTTGCTCAAGCTGTCCAACTTCCCGCATTTTACCGTGAAGCTCCTGTGCTGCACAGCGGGCATCGTTCTGGGGTCTGCGTGGGAAGTCTGTCCCTCTAACGGGCACGCTAAGCCCACGCAGTACTTTGAGGACAGACACGCTTGGTCTCAGTCCTGTCTCACCGTCTCGTGTAAGGGCGTCTGAAGGAAGCTTTCCACAGGTCGCCTCTCTTGGCTGTTTTGTGGGTGTTGGGCTAACTGTGTTCCT